GACATAACTCTGAAAGCAAGAAAATGCATAAAAAGCTCTCTCTTCTTACTGAAAATTCCCATTCACTGCATTTAAATATGAATATTTTCAAAAGCACAAACATAAAATGAAATTCAAGAAAAAGGGTATTTATTAACCAAATGGGAATATACAGTTTTCATTACATATATGTATATGGATATATTTTCTGGAAGCGACACATATAAACCATATATAACGAATGAAATACTATCCGAATCAAGTAATCTACACTGTTAAAACTGTGATGCAATAGTTATCTAAATTTGATGTTGAAAAACTCTGAAGATAGTGTAAAAGATTATTTTATTTCAAAATAATGCAGAATAATGAATTCTGATTCACTTAAAAGATTGTCGTTAAATCTTAACACCAATAATTGATTTAGTTTAAACCAATCTGCAGTTCGGTGGAGAAGAAGGCTGTGATATTTGAAGCTCCATCAATTTGGCGAATCGTTAGTGTTTAATCTGTTTAACTAGATAAATTCTCGAGGTAGAATGATGGTAATGCATATTTTGAACGAATAACGAAAGCTTTTGGAAGTTTAAAAGCGAATAATAGCTCAAGTTCAAGGTAGTGACAGTATGGAGACCAAGATGGAGATATGCTTATAGGCAGTGTACTGGATAAACATAACTTCTTCTTGTCTAACTTTATTAACAAACTGGACATAGCCCACTGAATCCCAAGTAAGTTTCAGTCATCTTCACTGATTGATAAAATATATTGATTACGGTGTAGTATCTGCGTAGAGCGCTCACCTTCTAATGAGTTGACCCTAGTTCGAATCCCGTCGATGGTGGGTCGATTCGAATTCCGAAACCGACTCGCACCGACAGTAGTGCTGACGTAAAATATCCACACTGGTAGATGTATCATGTGCTTAAGTCTCCATGGGAGGTTTTCTTGATTTTTCTCATCGTGCATTAGAAATATTGCGCTTTCTATATAAATTTATGATTTTTGATTTCGATTATATAGTAAATGCAATTTTACTGACTCTTATGCGTTTCTTATCTCACTGTAATTAGGAATTTTAGTGTTACTGAATAACTAACATGGGATCAGGAACTTTACACCAATAAGTGTAAAAGAACATTCTAAGTGCTTCACTGCACTAGAAACTATCATTGGTTTTGGTGTAGTTGCAACATTTGGTGAAACACCACTTTGGTGCACTTATGGAGTTACGATGAACGCGCTCACGAATATTTTTTACTGTGCACTATGTTTCGACGGTAAATAAGCTGTGGCGCCAGGCATGGTGCGTAGTCGCCAAAGGAATCATCTGGATGACTTTCACAGGATCACCTTGAACCCTTCTTCAATATTTAAGAAGCTTCGAACTTTGCTCTGTGCACACTCATACTTAATTTTACTTTTCTGTTTTTATCCTGTCATGTTTTCGTTGGTAATAAATGTTGTTTGATTTTCGTCATAGTTGTCTTCAACTTAATATGAGAGGGTTCCTCCCCCTCAAAGCTAGTAAGTAGATAAACCCAAAAATGAAGAAAATAGCGCAGAAAACGAAGAAAATTAATTAAAGGAGAAGAAAAAAAATTAATTAAATAAATTCAAATATTAAAATATAAATTGAAATAATGTCAAATTAAACAAGAAAACGTGTAACATCTTCTTCAGCTCGTAAAAACTGGTGCTTTTTAAAATTATGTTAATATCGCGAAAGTAAAATATATTAATATAATATTATGACACTATTGTATTTGATATATTTTACTTTAGTTACATTAATACAATATCAGAAAGTTCTAATTTTTGTGGATAGAGCAGTGTGAGTTGAATAAAAAAAGAAAAAAAAATATTTTTTTGTGGTAAAATCGCCTTTAATTCAAATTCTTAAAGTCATTCTTTTTAATATTTTTATTTAATTCTTAAAATTTTTTTGTTTTCTTCTTTATTTTTTTTTCTTTCGTTTTAATAGTTCATTTCAGCTAATGATTTGCACTCAAATTAACGATTACACTGAGGAACAGTTTTTATTCTGATATGCAATCGGTCTCTCTCTCCAAAGCTCAGTTTTTTAAATGACGTTTTAAGAGTATTTTATGTCGAAATGCTCTAGTTTGTAAAGAAGTATGTATAACAGGATACCGCATAAATATTACGTCAAACTTCTAGGAGAGTTAAGAGAACACGATCAGTAATAAAGCTGCATAGGAACCCATGCTCGGAAATGTTGTCATACGCCATTAGGGATGCTTCCCCATTATGCACTGTTTCTTAGTCCGCTTTTGAGCAGTTCCTACTAGGAAAGGATCCCTCGCCGCGTACGACGACATTTCCGGGCATAGGTTCCTGAGCAATTTTAATCCTTATGATGTGCCTTCACTCCCCTACAAGTTTGTTGCAACATTTAACTTGACCCCCTGTTATATATAACTTTTTTAAACTTGCATATTTCGACAAAAAATAGACTGAATAACGTCATTTCAGAACAAATCTCCATCTTAAGAAGCAAAACTAATCTCAGAATTGAAATCCCAATTTTCGAATTAGGCAAGATCAAGTATTTGTATAAATGCAACAAAAAAATTTGTTACAGTGTTTTTCAGAGGCAAAGTCCGAATGGTATCGTGCAATTTCCAGTCATATTAAAATAATTATTCCTTGTTGTTTATTTGAATTTTATAAACAGGGTAGAAGTATTTAAATATAAAACATCAAGTAGCTGTACTTTAAATACATATTGATATGACATTCCGAAATTAGTCCCTGTGATTTCTCTCTTTCTGCAATTTATTAGTTTAAACCTTAAAATCTAAAAATGTATTTTTTATCTTTTTTCATGCTTAATTTTAAGTATGTTAGGGTTTAAAATATTTTAACTGGTATTTATATACATTTAACTTGTATTTGTTGTCTTAGATTCATATGAATACACTCTAAGATAGAAAAATTCTTCTTCCACGTTAATCGAAACATAATTTATGAGTATAATTCGCTTAATATTTAGGAATATTTTTCGTTTTATTTTATTCATTAAAATGTTTTCTATTAAACCTAGTTACCAAATTTTAAATTTTAATTTACATAATTTCTCTTTAAAAATTCAAAGTCATTATAATATATATTAAAAGTCTCATGAAAGAAAAGAAAATCCTCAAAACTTGGCTCAACTCAACAAATTGAATTGATATCCTACTGAATATGATATGTCATGATATGTGGCTGATATATCATATTTATATACATTTTATTGAACCTAGTTACAAAATTTCTTAAGGTTGTAAGTATATTTTTTTAAAAATTTTCAGGGCTCTTAGAAAGATTAAGACAATTTTGACCTAAAAAGTTAAAATCCCGTAACTAGGTTCAAGAAGGCATATTAGTTTAAGGTTTTATTAAAATGTGTTCGATAGAACCTAGTTACCAATTTTTAAATCTTAAGGTTGTCAGTATTTTTGAAAAATTTCGAAGTTATTGTAATATATTTGAAAAGAGTATTAAAAATACTTAGTATATACATTTAAACTTTTGTTACTAAGTTCATTCCCTGTATAAAAAATGAAGAAAAAAAATCAAAAATATGAACTAATTACTCAATATAGAAATTACGTTCATACAATTTACTATAAGTTAAAAAGAAATAGAATCTTCTAAAGAAACCTTTCTGTGAAAGAAATTTAGCATTAAAAAAGTAAATATATCAGCAGCATATTTTAACTCAGGGGTTTCCAACTTATGAGGCCGGGGGCCACAATTAAAAACACAAATCAAATGGCGGGCCGCAACTTTATCAAAATTTTATATAGAACTCTTTTTATGTTTGAAAGAACATTAAATATTACTGTCAGATTTTTATCAAGTTGTACAAAACAAAAGTATTGAATTACAAATTAAAATAAGAAGTAGATTTTTAAAAATATTTAATTACATATTAAAAAATTCTGGCTACAATAAATTTAATGTGCACCAATGTGTTAAACAATTAATGTGCAGCAGATTTCTAATTGTTAAGATATAAAACTTTAAAAATGTTGGCATTGAAACTTACATAGTAGCACACTAAATGTTCAGTGAGAGAATTGAGGTTTGTATGCTGCAACTACCAGAGAATAGATATTTACAGTTTAAATTTAAAATTTACAGATATAAATAATTTCGTCCAAAATGAGTGGTTTCAAAAAGTTAAGTCGGAGAATTTTCTTCGAGAAAATGTCTGATACGCACATGCTAAAATATATTCAAAAAATAGAAAAATTAAAAAAAAAGAAGAAAAAAAAAGAACGAAATAAAAAAAGAGTAAACATACACGATTATTTTTGTAATTGGATAAATATTATCTTGGTTGCAAAACCTGAGAAAAAAATTTTTTTGCACTGTTGTTATGTTAAATTTCACAGTTACCAAGAAATTAGGTTTTTTTTAATGCGAAAAGTATTTCAAACCCAGATAGAATTTTTACGAAAATTGTCCGCAAAAAAATGACAACTAATATATTTCAGTTCGCGGACCCCAAAAAAAGGCTTCGCGGGCCGGATGAGGGCCGCCAGTTGGTAACCACTGTTTTAACCTATAAGAGGAAAGATATTCTGAATAATTACTTTGAACATTTAAAAAAAAAAGTTTTCTTAAAACGTTGCTCAAATTGTTTACTTATTTCCATTAATGGAAGGAAGATAATTAGCCGCAAATTGGATACAGAATATTGCGTGTTTTGTGGGGAAAAAATATAAATTAACGCCTGCATGAAATAGATATCTTATTTAAGTTGTTAAACAACAAAAACATGGTCGAAAACGAACAACGAAACAAGTCAATTCTTAAGTGAAATGAATGTTTTCATCAAAATAAGAACTTCCACGAGTTTATCCTTTTCCTCTTAATCCCTAGAGAAATGAAAACCTAGTTATCGGATGCTAAATCGTCCGCATCCTCTCTACGGTCACTTGGCGACATCCTTTGGAGTTCTGGCGGCTTGTCACAATTGGCGGCTTCTTGGCATCCTCCTCCGCTTTGCGTAATCTTGATTCAAAGGAGCACAGCTCCTCGTTGGAATCGAACGCGGTAAAATGCGCTTATTATTGTTACCACGAAAACTGGGAAGGCCTTGACCATCGGACTATGTTGAATAAAAATCTGTCCTTTTTCGCCAAATATACTGGACAAATGAATTGAATTTGGCGAATTGGCTTCTTACGCTGAATGATTTTTAGTTTTGAATCTTAAAGGTTAAGACTAATCTAATAAAAACATTTTAAAGACATCTGGGTGTCAGTCATGGGCGAGACAACTCTTGAAAAATAAGGTAAATAATATTTCAAGTGTCTTTTTTTNTTTTTTTTTTTTTTTTTTTTTTTTTTTTTTTTTTTTATAATGTGTTGACTTGTTTATCCAAAATGAGTTTTTTTTTCAGGAACACTACGTAATATTCCAAAAATATGTTTGTTTCTTAAATACAAAATTACTTTCCAATAATTTTTTTGCGAAGGAAATAAATATTCAGAACTTCGTAAATAACTCAATTTTTGAATAATATATTGAGCAATGGCTATTCTTATTTTAATGAAACAAATATGAATGCTAATTTTATGTAAAATTACAAATGGTTTCAAATCAGTTTTTTTTCAACCGTTCAAGAAATAGCACTTTATTAGAAAATAATACTTACGTTTAAGTTTTACTACGAACCAAAAAAGTGAATAAAATATCAGCCAAGTTCTTTCTAAGTAACACACAATTCCATGTTGCACATGTGACTTAATATACAATTTAAATGTATCAAAATAAGTATCAAATAATGTTTTATAAAATATGTAAAGTAGAACTTGAAAAAGAGGAATTGATAAAAATTAAAAATAACTTGATTATAACTAAAAGTTAAAAGCTTCCTCTTGTATCTATTAGTATGCTTGTTACTAATTTACATTGACATTAAATGGATAATGGAATAATTTCCTACAATTTCATTAGCAAAAATAAGGATTTTATTTAACAATTAATAAAGTAAAATGCATAGAAAATAAAAGAAAAAAAATTTATGCCAGAAGAAGGAAGTACGATTTTAAAAAGGTATAAATAATATTAATTAAAAAGTAAAGATAATTAAAACAAATAGAATTAATAGGAAATGTGTTCATGAAGTGAAATATACAAAAAAAAACGATAAATTTACTTTATGATTATCAATAGATTATTTTTTGCACTTTCAATTAAAATTAGATAATAATATTAATTTACATAAGAATTAAAAATTATTTGCGATATCAAAATTAAAACAATTTAATTAAATGCAGATTAAATGAGTAAATATTATTATAGGATAGGTAAATATTATTAAAATAAAATAAATAGGAAATATGGAAATATAATTATGAATAAATAAAATAAACAGGAAATGTACTGATGAATTCATGTATATACAAAATACAAAAATAATAAAATAACTTTATTATTCATTGCTTATTTTTACATTTTAAATTGAAATTGGATAACAATATTAATTTATATTAACATTAAAAATTATTACCGATATCAAAACTGAAGCAATATGCTGAAATAAATGCTATAACAACTAATTTTGCATAAATTATATGTCATAAACATTTCTGCAGTAGGAAAAAAAGTATAGTCATAACTACTAGAACATGGCACAATTTACCGTATTTCTGGCTCTATGTTATGTTTGTTAACAATAAAATATCGTTTTATAATATGTGATTAAATTTGGTAAATGGGGTAAAGTTTGGTAGTTTTATCACGATACCTTAAAGAATGGTATAAAAACAATTTATTCCATTAAATTTATTTTTCAGTTTTGCATTTCTTACTATGTATAAAGTAATAAAAGCTGAAATTTTGAATATAAGAATTTTAAGTAAACCATTAACAAACGAATAAAAAAAGTGCTGAACGAATAGTTGAAATACGATTTTAATACTGTTTTAATACCAAAATTATGTATTTTTTCTACCTCAAATGTCAAAACCATTCAATACGGTAATTTTACCAATGCTATTTTCTATACACAATTTACTGAAAAAAATTTAAATTAAAAGCATAAATAAAAGCTTAATTAACATAAATATCTTAATCAACTCAAAACTAAAAGCATAGTTTTCCAATAGTTCATTAATAGTATCATAAGACAAAACAGTTCGGAGAAAACATCGCTCAGACTCAAAGTCTTGGCGAGGGTAAAAGTCTGACCGAGACTCAGAAAACTAATGACTAGGCCTGTCAGCAAAAGATATTTTTGTATGAAAAAATAGAAGTGCTGTCTTGTATCAGAAAGCGCAGCTTGTAGCGTTTTAAAGACTTTCTTTCAGGGTGGAGTGAAAACGTCAAACATTTTATTTTAGGAAAGGATAAGTTGTTAGCAAAATACTCATTTACGAGTCTAGATTATGATTATCGAGGGGAAAAAATAATAATGTGCATTTTTAATAGTAAATAGAATATCAGAAATTTCCAATTTTGCATCTAATTTTAATTTGAAATATTTTGCCGTCGGTGTTTATTTTAAGGTCAAATAAATTATAAGTAGACGAAAAGATATTTTAACTGTCTGAAATAAAATAAAATAATAAATTAAAATAAATGCGTTTGTTAATATAAGGCTATAAAAATTAGAAAGAATACACTGAAATTCAACGAATATAAAACTAGCCAATCTGACATATCTAAGAAAATTTCTCTTTTTTCTTCTTTTTTGTAGGGTGATTTACTTTTAATTTAAAAACGTATAGTCGAATACATAGATAGTTAGTTGAAATAAATGTATTGACTGATTGAAATACGTATATTAATACAATAATTTTCTTTAAATAACTGCAATAAGTAATTGAAATCTATTTAAGAAAAGAAAGATATAAGATTTAATTTAAATGAAATCTAATGTCGCTGATATTTAATAATATACCATATAAAATTTCGGTAGAAAGTACAGACTCTCAGCGTGGCTGTATTTTTTAACGTAAAATTCATTATTTCCGTACGTCTTAGGAAAGGAAAAGTCGGATATCCCGTAATTTTTACAATGATAACGTAAAATCTCTGAATCACTCTAATTAAATAAATATTACTGTAAAACTTATGGTATAATATTTAATGCTAAAAATGGATTTTACTATACAATGGAATTTACGAATGAGCAACGGAAGTGTAAGTACTTTTTACCATAATTTGATCCAGAAGTTTATACAGTGTAACCTTTAATCCATTTGATTGTTCAGTGTATATAATATTCAATTAAAATAATGAAGGAGAGATATTTTTTAATCCAAATCAAAGACACTTTTTTCCTTCTGATGCACCTGACTGCATGAATTTCTGTGACGCATCTAGCAGCATTGAATTTATACATTCATGAATTCTTATAGCACATTTGATGGGTTATGAGCATCTATGATGCATCTAACTATAAGTGTTGCCATGCGTCTGATGACAGATGCATTCCTCCAATTCTTGAGGTTTACGAGCATGTATATTTACACCAGCCATCTATAATGAATCTAGCCGTAATTGTTGGCACACGTTTGGTTGCATATGAATTCGTATGATGCATAGAGTGGCATGTGAGCACATTTGATGTATCTATCCGCAAGTTTTCATGCCTCTAGAGGTACTTGATGCAGTTAGAAGTGTATATGAACAGTACTAACCACAAGACAAGTGTTGACTTGCGTCTAGTGGCATATAAATTTTTATCGTGCATCTAGCGGCTTACGGGCATCCTTGGTGCATCAAGAAGCTTATGGCCATCTTTGATACATCTAGCATCAATGATGGCCATTGTATTAAAGTTTAGAACTCCTCAAATTTTAAAGTTTTCAAAATGCCATTTAACATGTTCTTTCTGTACGTTTTTTCATTTAAATTTTAACCTTAAACATCTGAAATTTGAAAGTTTTCAGAATGCTATTAAGCATGTTCTTCCACTATTGATTATATATTAAATTCTTTGGTTACATGCCTAAAATTTGAATGCATTCGGAATGCTTTTTAACATGTTTTTCTACTGAAGTCCTTGTAATAAATTTTACACGGAGAAAAGACAATTCTGGTAAAATTACCGTACTGTATTATAATGACATTTCTGTAAAAAAATCATAGTTCAATAAAAACCAAAATACGTGATATTAATCTATTCATTTGGCAATTTTTACATTGATTTGGTCAAAGCTTACCAAAAATTTTGGTTTTTAAAATTATAATTATTACTACACATTTAGTACAGAATGCAAAACAGAAAAATAAATTTAACCGAATGAATGGTTTTGATGAGATGCTTTAAGTTATCATGATAAAATCAATACATTTTACCACATTTACTAAATTTTATCACAGATTATCAAACCATATTTAATTATTAATTTTACGAAAACCATTGACAAAGTACTTTGTAAAAAATAACCCCATTACCAAAATTTGCCGTTCACATAGAGCAAGAAACACAGTAAATTTTACCATATTCATGCACTTATTTCTCAGTGTCCATATCCATATCCATATTTTTTTCTCAGTGTATACTTATATTCCAGAAAATTGAATATTTTCAATAAGACAAATAACAACTTCGTCATCTAGAATTTTTGCAATGAAATCTCTGATTACATTCCGGAAATTTCAATATTTTCAAAATGAAATTTAACATGTTCTTTCACTGAGTTTTTTGTAATACGCATGCTTTACATTTATATTTCGGAAGTTTTCCAAAAGCCGTTAACACGTTCTTCAACAAGGTTTTGTTCCTGTTCGTAAAAAAAACTGAAACATTAATGTATAAAAGTCTACGAATGTAGATATATTCAAATGACAGTACTGGACAAAGAGTATATTGTTACCCAGAGATTCAATATTCTCTTCCAAAATTGAATGAAATAGATGGCGCTCCTTTGTAGATGGGACAATGTATACAACACGATGCTTTTACAAATGAATGGAATTTCTGCATCAAATTCTCAGGCATTAGGGAATCGGTGGTTTCGCTTCGCACGAACATAAGTTTAACTGTAATTTGACTGTTTCTAGAAACCATGTTTCTAGCTACATTCTAAACTCAGGATAAACCTTAATACTACAAACAACTATTTCCAAGTTCTTTGTGAGTAATCCTCCTGCTCGTATTAGGTTTTCAAATTTCGAGTTTTTCTTCAGTTGAATGTTTGCGTTCTTTGGTACTATATTTTTTAAAATTTATTTAGAAAGTGAATATTTTGTACTAGTTTCTATTTAAAAAGAAAGGGTTTTGTACTATTAATCATTAAAAATCATTCATTAAATGGTATACCTTCACTGTTCGAAATT